AGCATTCTACCATTGTACTTGTAGCTTATAATATATAAAAAGAAAATAAGCCCTTAGAGTAATTGGAGCTGCCTCACAGCTACATTTCCTAATATTTTCTCTCAAGATGGGACTAAGAATGTCAAAATAAGCCTGAATCACTATTCTCTATGAATGTAAGAAATAGATGTAGAGGCTGGATTGCCATATTTGGGCTAAAACATATCTAAGCATCCCACCCCCGTGTAGATTTATAGGCAAATTCTGTTCATTGTTTGTACAAATATGACACCTCGCAGTATTGGAAGAAACCTAGTCCTTTTCCCTTTTAGGTTTCAGAGCTATAATGGTCTGATGTAAAGTGCAGTCAGGGAGACATTTTTATTTTCAATTTTATTTATTTTCATATGCTTTCCTTGAGTTTTTTAGCATAATATTGATTTTTATCTTTATAGAAAGATTCCCCCCGTGTATTCTTACCTCCTTTAAAGCCTAGTTTAAATTAAGGTAAACATTACTTTCCTAATCTCAGTGCAGAGAAAGAAATGGCTTTTCCTTAGTGTAAAAGAATGCTTTAAATTAAATGAGCTTCCCTAAACATAAAGCCACTACTTTAAATGTTTTGATAATTTGGCAAACCATTAAAACATGAATAATTTAAATCAGACACAGAAGTGTATTTGCCAACTTAATTTGCTAAAATTATAACCTAATTTTCCCCCTTAATCCTTAGTCTTTATCTGTTGATCAGTAAAAGTAGACATAGAAGTGTCAGCAGATACTGTTTACATATTATATTCCACTTAAGAAAATGTGCTTTGTGACATAAATGTGAAATCTTAACAAGAGGTTTCTGTTAAATTATAAAAATAGTACCTTCATTGTTCGTCCACATCACTAACTTGCAGTTTCTAGCGTACCAGGCGTTTAAACAAATCAGAAAATGTTATAATGAGCAGTGAATGAAAATTTAAAGCAGCAGAGGGTAGAAATGATGTAGGAAAGCATTCTCCTTGGCTCTTAGTTCTCCATGTTCTGCTAAAATTAGTTTTTACATGGTAAGTTTTTCTATTGTATGAAAGGATTTAAGTTACAATTGGTTTCAAAAAGTTAATCCTGACACTAGGCAGAGCTGCACATGCCTGTAAATTCTGTTCTTTGGACATAGAGGCCAAAGGATCAAGAAAGAGTTCAAGGCCCACCTGTGCTAGAGAAATCGGGCTGGGATTGTCATCCATTGTCAGAGTGCTTGCTCTGTAGAATCTTACTAGGAGAACCCTAAAATTGCAACTAGGAAATCAACAGAGGTGTTCCTGGAGAAGGTCACATATGAGCTACCTGTTCATTGGAGGGTGTTTCTAAACTAGGTGATCAAACTGGTGCTTTGTGTTCTAGAAAATGCTTTTTGTGAATGGGTTATTGGTGTGCTAGGGTACTGAGTCCTTCGACTCTTGAGACAACCAGGTGGGCCTGGAGTTAGCAGGCCTCCCAAATCCGCCATTTCTAGACAGTGTCCTTGTCTTACCTCAGTATGACATACACTTACTACTGCTTTCCACCTGTCACAGTCTGAAAAACACAGAAGCATTAGTGTGAAGTATCTTGAAAAGGTCGTGGAAGCTCCACCAGTAACTGCCAAGGGATCACAAAAAAGAAAGAAGTTCAGTGGCCAGATTTTAATGTGGTCCTGTTTTTTGGTTTTGTTTGGTTGGTTTTTACTTTCATGTGTATGGTGTTTTGTCTGCATGTATATAAGTGTACTTGTGTGTGCAATGCCCTTGGAAGCCAGAAGAGTATGTCAGATCTCCTAGAACATGAGTCACAGATGGTTGTTAGCTGCCATGTAGGTACTGGGAACAGAACCTGGGTCCTCTGCAAGGGTACCCAGTGTTCTTAACCACTGATGATCCATCTTTCCAGCCACGTTATCCCCCCACCCCCATTTTTAAACTGTGGTAAAGTGTACGCAAGCTCACCATACTCACTGTTGATTTGGTGGTTCCTTTGTGTGGTTGGTTGGTTGGTTGGTTTTTTTGTTTCGTTTTGTTTTGTTTGAGATAGGGTCTCTCTGTAGCCCCAGGTGACCTGGAACTCACTATGTAGACCAAGCTGACTTCTATCTCACTGAAATCCACCTGCCTCTGCCTTCTGAGTGTTGGAACCAAAGGCATGTACCACCACCATGCCAGGCAGTTTTTAAGTGTGCTGTTCAGGCAGTGAGAGCATTTACAATTGCTTTAAAGCCATTATTACCTCTTTCTCCCCAAGGTTTTTTTAATCATCCCAGATTGAAATTCCAAACCTCTGAAGCAGTGGCAGGACCGTTCTTCCTTATAGCTCTGAATTTCACTGCTCTATTTAGCTCATATAGCATTTTTCCTTTGTGACTGCCTGTCAAAATATCTTCAAGGTTTATCCATGTTGTCACATGTATTAGAATTTCTTTTTAAAGCTGAGTGATATCCCACTGTGTATATATATCACATTTCTCTGGTACTCAAATCTTAACATACATACTTGGGCCACTTCATCTTTTGGTTGCGTTAAGCTGTTAGATCCATGTACAAATAGCATGTGTATACACTTTCGAAGTACAATCTCAAGTCATGGAAATTCTGTCTTTAATGTTTTTGGAAAATGTCTCTGTAGCATCTTGCTGCTTCATATTCCTACAGCCTTACGCAAAGTTCCATTTCTCCATGTCCTCACATCCACTTGTTCTGCCTTTGGTGACAGTGTCCTGATAGTGTAGACGGGTAGTCCACCGTGGTTTTGATTTGCATTCACTAGGTAGTTACTGTTGTGACCATCTAGCTTTTTGTTAGCTTATTGGCAATACAGTCTTTTTCTGGAGCTTTATAATCAAGATTAAGCAAAGCTTGTTTAAAAACCAATGTATTTTATAAATTTAGGTCCACTTAGTCTTCCTTTTTTCATTGCTTCAAAGCACTATAGAGATCATGTGAATTCTTTATCTAAAATTTATCAGTGTTTGTGAATCCAGGAGCAGTTTACAGGGTTTAACAGCATCTTTAAAGGATCTGTGATAAACCTAAACAAAAGAGCTGTTGAGATGGCCCAGAGTCAGGAAAGTGTTAATTATCCTTTGTTAGATTAAACAAAGGTATTTTAAATTTTTCTACTTTGTAGCCAGGTGTGGTTGGTGTGTGCCTTTAGTCCCAGGCAGAGACAGGTAGATCTCTGTGAGTTTGAAGCCAGTCAGGTCTACATAGTAAGTTCCAGACCAGCTGGGGCTACAGAGAAACCCTGTCTCAAAAATACAAAAATAGAAAAAAACAAACAAACAAACGGGTGGATGGATGGATGGATGGATGGATGGATGGATGGATGGATGGATGGATGGATGATAGAAAATTTTCTGCTTTGTATTTTCCTGTTTTCTTGAGTATTTTAAATAACCATTCATCTGCATTACTTTTATCATTAAATAAATGTCAATTTAGACCCTCAGAAGTAAAAACCATGTTTAGCTCTTGGACTTCCCATTAAAAAAACAGAAGTATGTGTGTAAGTTACACTCTTAAAATTGCCCTTCCCCTAGGGCTCCAGTACTCCTGAGTGAATCCCTGCCAATAAGCAGTGGCCAGACTGGCTGCTGTGGAAAAGTGATTTCTCCCAATGTGTCTTTTTCCACCGAGCTCACTGCAGGTTTGCACTTGAGCTCTCATAAGCTTTGACTCTGAAGAGGATGTGCAGGTTCTTCAGTGACAAAAGCAGTGTCTGCTATTGAATAGATTTCAGTTAAATTTTATTAAAGAAAAATGTTTGCATTTGAGTCCTTGATAATGGGATTTTGCTGGCTTTCCTATAATATGTAGTGCTTCCTATAATAATTCTAAAAATGGGGGACGGGGGCTAGGGAGATGGCTCAGCGATTAGGAGTGCTTACTGCTTTTCCAGAGGATTTGAGGTTTTCCAGCACCCATATCAGGAGGCTCACAACTGCCTGTAACTGCAGCTCCAGGGGATCTGACACCCTCTTCTGGCATCCGTGGACACCCACACATATGTGACAGGCACACACACACATACACATAAAGTTAAAAAAAAAAAATCTGAAAAGATGTTAGGCTTACATAATTGATGGCTTAAAATTAAATAATGAAAAGTAATCTAAAAGAATTTTTAATAACTATCCTAGATAGATGGATATATATGCCTGTGCTCAATTTATCACTCTAAAGGAACCAGGAAATTTTTAAGACATGTAAAGACCTTCCTAGGGTATCTTGCAAAATTTTCAAGCTGTTTATTGCTTTGGTCTTCTGGCTAGACATAAGACTACTCCAGATACAGCTTAAGTCTTTCTGCTGTTTCATGTATAGTGCGAGTGCCCCTTCCTACCCCTGAGCATGCATGCCAGGACTCCTAGTGGAACCAGTTAGAGCAGCGGGCTGGCATACCTGGCCTGCCACAATCTTTACTCTTGTGCTTTGGGACCATACGTAAGTAAAATAGGAATTGCTTGAACACAAGCTTCTGATAGACTTTTAGACAGCTACTGAGTGAGTAATGCTTGAGTAGCATACATAGCGTTAATATACCAGAAAAAGCTTCAGGTTCTGCGCAGGATAGAGTAAGATTTCATATCACTACCAGAATAGTACCTAATTTCAAACTTATGAAGTGTTTCTTTCTGGAACTTTGCACTTAATGTTCAGCCTACAGTTGACATGGTAATTGAACACATTGAAACATAGATTCCAGGGCTACTTTTACTCTAGCCCAGCCTGTCTCCTGTTCTGTTGGACTGGAACTGTACCATCTTCCTGTGCTCCAATGGTTTTTGGCAGGGAGTTCTATAGATGTGGTTTACTAGAAGGTTTATAATGTTGTTGTTGTTATCATTATTATTATTATTATTATTAATTACAATTCTGTTTGATATGAAACCCAAAGCCTCACACGTGCTACACAGGTTCTCTCTGCCCCTGAGCTATATAGCTCCAGCCTACTTAAATCTGTACCATTTTTTTTAATTCCTTCTTTTAATTTTACAGCTATATGCAGGAGCTATTCTTGAAGTCTGTGGATGAAAATTAGGGAGGTTCCCTCAAGTCCAAGGTATGTAGTTGTTATTTAAAATCATTATTTTACAAGAATAAATTCACTAAATATTCCCAAGAATGTGAATTTCTATAATTGTACATTCATAACAATATATGAATTTTTTTCACTAGGCATGATGGAGTATGCCTTTAATCCCAGCAGGCTGGAGGCAGACAGGTGGATCTCTGTGGGATGGAAGCCAACCTAGTCTACAAAGCAAGATTCAGGCCAGCTGGGGTTACTGGGAGACCCTGTCTGAAAAAACAAAGTGTGCAGTTTTTTGTTTTGTTGCACATATGCAAACATGAATTTTTTTTATATTTGTTTTTCCTGGAGGTGGAATTTTAATAGTAATTGATGCCTAGTTAGATTATTTTACTATAAACAAACACAGTATATGAGGTTTAGATTTAAAATAGAATCCATAAAGTTCTTCTATTCTTCTTTTTTTTGAGACAGAGTCTCCCTGTAGCCCCAGCTGGCCTGGAACTCACTATGTAGACCAGGTGGGCCTTGAACTCATAGCGATCCACCTGTCAATAATAAGTATTTAAGAATCATTGTCAGAGTTAGTTCTTTGGGTTAATATCAAGCAGTAATGGAGCTTAGCCTCACCAAAAGCCTTGGAGTAAGGCCTTTCTTTCTTACCCTTGCATGTTTACTTGAAATCAGCTTTATGAAACAGAACCCTTTTTAATGAAGTGCTTTTGGAACTTTGGTTTTGGTTGGTACCTGCTATGTAGTCCATGCTGGCCTCAAAGTCAAGCAGATCCTCCTGCTTCAGCCTCTGGACTGCTGGGTTACAAGCATGCACCACCACACATAGCTTTCTTTTTTTTAAGTTGAAATGCCTTGCTGTTCTGTCTGTATACCTAATTCTGTTTGAATTTTTGCTGATTTCCTGCCTTATTTACTAATGACAAAAAATTCTTGGATTTGGCAATATATTTCTTATATTAGCATATCTTTCATTATTGATTTGGAATTGCTTATAAAAAAGTAATTTTTGTTTTGGCACAGGACTAATTTAGTAGCTTAACTTGGGAATATATTTTTGTAAGGTTTAAAGCAAATAAGCATAATTCTGATGCACAGAATGTAAGAGCTACTTTTGCTTGTGGGAAAAAAAAACTCATTTTGTTTTTCCTTTCTATTCAAACCCTTATATGTAGGATTTTATCACATTGTTTGGATTTTTTTTATACTAGTTCTCCAAATGGTAATGTGATCATTCTTAATCTTAGAAATTTTTGACAGTTGCCTTTTAACTTCATTGATACTCATATTTAATATCTTGGGGTTTTGTGGGATAAGGTAAAATTGTGTATCTCAAGCTAGCCACAAACTTAAAATCCTGCCTCATCATCCCAAGTGGTTTGATTACAGACATGCCTTGTGTTTAAATTTTTATTAAATTTTTCAGAAATTTTCTATTAAAATTTGTTACACTTTTACCTTTTATTATTTTATGAGATTGTTCATAAAAGTCTTAAAAATATGAAGAAGGTCCACAGATCCCAGCTGGGAAATGGTAATGACTATTTTCCTTGTATTCTAAAAGTTAAACTATTCATCTCTCTTCCAGAAAAAAAATTATATTGGAAGGATACCGTAGTGCACCATTTGTTTTCCTGGATTTCATTTGCTGCTTGCACACTTAACAGCTCTACACATAAAATTCGATTATAATGTATGATAATTAAATCTGAGACTTACAACAAATAACAACATTCCATACTCAAATACCAGTCTTTGTAAGGTGTTTTAAAACACGTTATCATGATTTTTCTTATAATTTGCAAAGCGTCATAATACTTTTACTCATTCATAGCTATGCTAGGCTCTATATTTGCATTGACAACTTAAGTACACTACATTTGAAGAGAGCCTGCATTAGGCTTGAAGAATTGTTTCTTTTCCTGACTGATGGAACATCAAACCATTTCGTGGCCTTCTGTAGCATACTATTTTTTATTTCCTGTGCTGAGGATTGGACCCAGGACCTTCCACATGATAGGCGAGCTTCTATTACAGAGCTATGTCCCTAGCTCTCCTAGCATACATGTTAATGTTCATTTTAGTTTATTTTATCCAGCAAAACATTTGGGACTGTTTTGACTATTACCAAATGTCGTATTTTAGTGACATTGTTTGCCAAGGGAAGAGGTAAAGGCCTTTTAGATCCTTTAGATTATGTTAAAGGAAGGACATCATTCTACCCCTCTTCAATTTTCAGTTCTTGCCAGGCGTGGTCGCTCATGCCTTTAATTCCAGCCCTTGCCAGGCAGAGGCAGGTAGATCTTTGTGAGTTCACGGCCAGCCTGGTCTACATAGCAAGTTCCAGGGCAGCAGGGGCTACAGAGATACCCCATCTCAAAAAGACAAAAAAGAAAGTTCAGTTCTCTAGGGCCTTTTTTGTTACCCATTTGTCACTCCAACATAGTGAAATCTCCGTTCTCTGAACTCCAGAGTGCTATCTGTTGTTAATGTAACAGAGTTTGGGCTGAGATATAGCTCTGTGGTAGAGTGGTTACCCACAGTGCAGCCTGAGGTCTGATCTCTGGCATCAAACAGAGGGAAAGGAGGTAAAGACCCTGTAGCATCATTTGTTTGGGGGGCATCATTGCTCTTACTGTTTATCTGTTGTACATGGCACTGGGTGACAGACATCATTTTCAAACAAGTATATAGTGTACTTCAGAATATCTTCTCTCCACTCCCCTGTTTCCCTTCCTTCCCTACACACTTCTACTTCATGTCATGCTCCTATACAGTTGTATGTGTCTATAAAATCCAAAACCACAGTGAAAGGGAACATGCACTTTACTCTCTTAAATTCTTGGAGAATTCAGTTTCCTCATGTTGTCATATAGTCTATCTAATACCATGCATATATGATGTCTCAAATATTTGTTAAAAGATTCATCTGCTGGAGACTGTGATTCTCCTCTTACAAGATAACACTCCTCTCATTCAGAATTATGCTGTGGATCTATGTTTAGCAGAAAAGAACAAAGAACTGCTGGGAGTAGCCATTAGTGATTCATCGTAATACTCCTTTTAGATGTGTTCGCTCAGTCTATCCCATTAAGTCTTTTGAATGAATGAAAATTATTAAATGTGCTGACAGCTCTGTTTGTTACAGAAAACATTTTCAAATAGTGCAGTTCCCTTAGTGGCTTCCTGCATAGTTGGAAAAGTGGCTTGACCCAGTTGAAAGTGTGTTAGATGGTATTTTGCCAGACATGCATATAGGATTGGTCAGTTAGGTAGTCTAAAATGCAGTAGGGTGTTACAATGAGATAGAAGGGAATGCAGGGAAGGTCAGGGCCATGGGAAGGGAGTGGGCTCTTTTGATATTTGTTATTTTGTGGGTGTGGGTGTGGGCGGGGGTGTATTTGTTTGTTTTTTTAGGCAAGGTCTCACTGTGTAGCCCAGACTGTCCTTAAATTCACAGAGACCCACTTGCCTGCCCTCCGCCTTCTTAGTACTGGGATTAGAGAGTGCTGAAATTAAAGGCCTGGCCACCACTGTTTTTATATAAACTTAGAAAGGGCAGGAATTATATATGTTTATGTAGTTTTATCTCAGCTGTCTGGCACATAGTAAATATTTAATAAATATTTTTGTGATAATTTAAGTTTTGACTTCATCTGGAATATATTTAAATATGTTGATATAGGCCCCTATTTTTTTTTTCTGTTTTTCCCAAATAGTTTGGCAATATCCTCAAAAGTGTTTATTGAATAATTCGCTCATGCATACACAGCTCTCCCTGCCCCTTAATTCTCTGATTGGTAACTTCACTATATTAAAAAATTCTAACGGGTATTTCTGTCCCAGAATTTTCAAATCGATTTAACTGTTCTCGACTGAGTATCGCACTTAGTAGAGTGTCTTAGTAGAGCAGTTCTCCCCTCACATTTCCTTCCTGCCTGGCTCTTCTCTCAAATTTGCTCTAACAGCTGAGCTATCCTGTCATTTCATCAGCTTCAAAACCCACCATTGGAATTTGGCAAATTGATTATCTACATTTATTTATTAACTTCTTAAATTTATTTAGTTGTTTTCATATATAAAGTAAGGTTTGGTTTATTTCACCTTTTTGTATTGCTCTTTGTAGCTAGCTTGGATTTAGACATAAACCATTTGACCCTTTTCTTCTTTTAAGCTTTCGTCAGAAGTGATAAACCCAAACTGTTCAGAGGACTACAAATCAAGGTAAGGTAACTGTAATGGAATTTTTTTCTCCCGGTGATAACTTTGAATTAAAATAATTTTTGAGTACAATTTTCAATAAATAAAGGTTTAACGTTAATAGACATTTTTAAAGAGTAGTTTGTAGTTTCCAGAAGAAACTGAGTTTGTCCCTACTCTTGTAACCTCAGTTTCTCACTGTGATATCCTAGATTGACTGTAGTCCATTTGGAAACAGTTGTTGAACAATTGTGACATGTTATTATTACATGAATTCGAGAGTTCCCATCAGGGTATACCTTTTGTATTGTGTTGTTCTAGGAGTTTCACTGAAAGCATTATGTCTTGATCCCACCATCCATTTTCACACAGAACAGTCTCTGCCGCAATAGTCCTGGGTCCCCTCACCCACTGTCACCCAGCTGATTTATTCATTCATTTATTCTGCAGAACTGAGAATTGAACCCAGGGCCTCACATGCTAGACAAGTGTCCTCCCACTGAACTATGTACCCAGCTCCTTTTCCTTGACTTTTTAAGTCAGAGTCTCGCTGTGTAGCCTAAGCGTGCGTCAGACTTGCAGTATTCCTCTTCAGCCTCCTGAGTGTGCTGGGATAGCAGGCCTGTGCCACCAAGCCCAGCTTTCATCGTTTTCCTGTGTGTGATTTTAGGTGGAGGCATCTCTTTCTCACACACACACACACACACACACACACACACACACACACACACATATTCCCTTAGCAATATGTACTTAAAGGCCTTTAGTAAGGCCTTTTCTTTGCCTCAGTATCTGCTGTATGTTACTGAATGGCAGTTTGTCATCCCAATTTTTTGTTTCTGTTCACCTACAAAAGGATCTCTGTTTCCTGAAGGTTGGGGGGCAATTATCGGTACTAAAAACCACTTAACATTTTAGCATAATTTCTGTGTACACATAAATTTTCATCCCACTGTCTGAATTTGAAGTTATTCTGATTTTGTCCTTTCATATTTAAAAAATGTTTTTCTGAATGTATCTTATTTTTCATATAAATGTTTTAATGAAAATGAAGATTGCTAGACCCTTTAAGACTTACTGTAACTTCTTATTGTTGACAAGCAGAGATTGGTTATTGATCTTTACCAGTAGATTTTGTCATGTAATATGAAATCTGTTTTTAAAGCCAGTAAGAGAATGGATATAAACCTGTGTAGATATGTCGGGCCTCGACAGATTGCCTGTTCTTTAGAGCCCTCTGTGTTTTAAGCATAGTTGCTAGATCACAGTTAAGATAGCTGAACTATCTTCCAAAGTAGCTCCATCGCTTGTATTTGCACCAGCAATGAATAGAGTGCCTTCCGCCCCTCTTCATCTCTAGCAACAGACATAGTAACTGGGGTTTTAGCCATTCTGAGAAGTGCAAGCAACAACTTATTGCTTGTTGGCTACATGTGTGTATTATCCTTTGCCCACTTTGTTGCTTGTTTGTTTTCAGTGGGTTTGTTTTGTTTATTTGAGATAAGGTCTCACTATGTAGCCCTGGCAGACCTGGAACTCACTATTACCATCAGGCTGGCCTCAAACTTACAGAGATCCCCCTGCCTCTGCCTCCCGAGTGCTGGGATTACAGGTGTGAATCACCATGACTGGCTTTAATTTGTTTTTATAAAGATTTGTTTATTTTTTGCTTGTTTGGTGGTAGTGGTGGTAGTGGTAAGATAGGGTCTCAATGTAGCCATGACCAATCTGGAACTCACTATGTAGACCAGGCTGGCCTCAGAGCCACAGTGATCTACCTGCCTCTCCCTCCTGAATGCTGGGGCTAAAGGTATCAGCTACCACACCATGCCTAACTTTTTTTCATGTGTATGTGTATATGCATGTAGGTATATACAAATGTGAATGAAGGTGACCATGGAGTCAGAAGAGGGTGTCAGATCCCCTGAGCTGGAGTATGTGATTGTGAGCTGCCCAGCAAAGATGCTGAGAATAAAGTTTGGGTCCTCTACAAGAGCAGAAAGTGCTTGTAACTTCTGAGCTATCTCTCCAGCTCCTTTGCACATTTTTGTTGTTGTTGTGCTGGTGGTGGTGGTAGTATTGTTGTTTGGTTGGTTGCTTAGTTTGGGGTGGCAAGATTGTTATGGTATTTTCTTTTTTTTGGTGTTGAGCTGTAGGATAGGGGTGTGTGTGTGTGTGTGTGTGTGTGTGTGTGTGTGTGTGTGTCTTAGTATGATTACCTGAACTTGTTAATAGTAATAGATTACACTAATCAAATTTCAAATATTATACCAGCTTTATATACCTAGAAAAAAATCTCAGTGTATAATTCCTTCTGCTCTTTGGATTAGATTTGCTAGTAATTTGTTGATAAACTTTATAATTATTAAAGTATTAAATCTTTAAATGTGTATGTGTGTAGGCCTGCATGGGTTTGTGTACCATGTGCAGGCAGAAGCCCACAGAAGCCAAAAGAGGGAGTCAGATCCCTGGAACTGGAATTACATGCTGTTGTGAGCTGCCATGTGGGTACTGGGAACTGAACCTGGGTCCTCTGCAAGAACAGTAAGCACTCCAACCACTGAGCCATCTCTCCAGCCCCTAAAATGAGTTTTTAAATAAATGCTTAAAATTTAGAAACAATTAATGTAATTACCTGATCAGAAATGTTGAACCATTGGTTCATCAGCAGGGACCTATGTTTCTAACGCCCACAAATAGTTGGGAATAAGCTGTGTGTGTAGCATGTGCTAGGCTGTGGGTTCAATCCCTTAGTGCCACAAAAAAATAAAATGGTTGGAAGTATACTGTTGATAATTATGTCAGTAGTTGACCTCCATGTCTAGAGTTCAGAATTTTAAAAAAGAAGCTAAAAGGAGTTTTAAGAACTCTGTCACTACTGTTTTTAGTTATAGTTCTACATAATTTGAAAACAAATTTGATCTCTTAACAAAAGCATTTTTGTTTACTGTCATAGTTCTAATTCTAATGGAATGCAAAATTTGAAACTGACTGCAGTTTCTTAAGCCAAGGAAAATTTATGATCTAGGATGGGATTCTGTATCTAATAATTTTATGTGCAATGTATTTCAAAACATTGCTTTTTTTTGGTCTTTTAGAGAGTCTTCCTATAGCCCCAGCTGGTCTGGAACTCACTGTGTAGACCAGGCTGGCCTTGAACTCACAGAGCTGCCTTTCTCTGCCTCCCAAGTGCTGGGACTAAAGGTGTGCACCACCGTGCCTGGCTGAAACATTGGTTTTATGTTATATTTCTCATTAATTGTTTTGACTTTTTCTGCCTCCAACCATTAGATTTTAAACTCATTTGCCTTGACAGAGTCATATATGAAATAAATATTTGTCACATTCAATAATAAACTTTAATCCCAGTTAAACTGTCCTTATACAGATATTTTTCTCTTTAGAAATAAAATGTCATTTTCTTAATTTCCATTTCCTTATGAAATAATATTTAATTCTTTGCTGAAAGGCTGCATTGTAAGACCTGCTGATTGTGATGTTGGATCTAAAAGCCTTTTAAAATCACTATTACATTTCATTAAGCTATTTTGATCTTGGTTGAGGGTGAGAAGGTTCCTTTTAAGCAGAAAATAATGATGATGTCCCTCATCTTTGTAGTATGTTCGAGGTTCAGACCCTGTACTAAAGCTTTTGGACGACAATGGGAACATTGCTGAAGAATTAAGCATCCTCAAGTGGAACACAGACAGTGTGGAAGAATTTCTGAGTGAGAAGTTGGAACGCATATAAATCTTGCTTAGTTTGTCCTATCCTTTTATTATCAAGTGAAGTATTATAGCACCTAGAAAATCATTCAGCTTTGCATGCGTACCATGCTCAGACTTCCTGGAGTCATTAGCCATCTAGTTAGAAGTTAAGACATCATCACAGCCCACAATACCTAAGGAGTTGGCAAGTTAACAAAACCCATGATTTCTGTCCTTCTGCACTTGTTGATACCAATGAAATGCTTTGTAAGAGGCTTATGATTAATTATGCAAGTGGTAGTTTGTGACAATTGGTCCAGTTTTATGAACAACAGAATTTTAAATTAGGAAGGTTAAGAAGGGAGATGATCCCTCTGCCTCTGTGGCTGTGTGCTCTTTTCAAAGCAGTGACAGAATACTACAAAGTGGATAACATATACCAACTTCAACAGCTTGCCTGCTCTTCAGAACCCCTCATGTTTTTTGTATTTCCTAACTTTATTTTTAGTAGAAATATTTGTAGTTTGTCAATGTACTGCATAAAAATTTTGTAACTGTATTATTATGGAACAGATTCAAAATCTGTTAAGAGTGTAGTATTCACAAGGTTTGCATTAATGAGGACTACACAGAAAACCTTTGTTAAGGATTTGTGTAAATCTGATGTTTGGCAAGCTTTTGTGTTTTTTAACATTCTTACAGAAAAGTTCCAATCAATAATGTTCATTTATAGGACCAAAATATAAATAAAACTTTGGAAAATTTGTCTGAATTTGAAATTACTCTGGTTTGTTTTTTCTTGTTTAAGAATGTTGCTTCTTAATGCATTCTTGTTTTCATATAAGCTATTTTTAGCCAAAATATAAAAATGACTACACTGTTTAAAACTTACCATAACTTCTTATTGTGGCTAGTAGAAATTGGTCATTAATCTTTACTGGCTGTCTTTTGTCATGTAATATTTTAAATAGTCCTGTTTTTAGAGTCAGTAAGAGAATGGGTATAAATCTGTATGATTTGACTAATCAAAACAGTATAAGAAATACTGGCAAAAGATGGTGTATTTTTGATCATTTCCAGCAATGGAGAGGGCTGTCATTTTGACAGTCCCTGTCCTGGAGAATGAGCCACTGATACTTGTGTTTCCTGCTATTTTAGAACTAGAGGGAGATTAAGCAGGTTTTGGATGGAAATGAGTTGCCACCACAGACAGAAGAATTCAAGTATTGAAAGATGAAGCTCCAAACCTTCTGGCATTGACATGAAAGAAAGTTGGACTGCTTTCTGGGCAGGAAGTTAAATGAATATAAGATGGGGAGAGGGGAGTGAGAAGGCCAGAATGAGGCCTGAACAGTGTGTTGTATTGAAGTGCTGTGAGATCAGAGAAGCCAAACAACCCCACACTACCGTGGAGTTTCAAGTTCTCAAGCTTCTGGATCACAGTAGATCTGCCCCACCTACATTTTAATTGGGAGCTTCGCATTAATTAGCCAATTCAAGCGGTTTTTGTGATTGTACTCAAAGATGGCTTTTTAAAGTGCTGGTTGCTAAGAAAGGGTTCATCTAAAAAGTGCCATTTCATATCCAGTTCCTGGTGTTCGATTGAACTTACTCAAATTCTCAAACATTTTTATGCTTTTTCTCCCCATCAGAATTTTATTATCTATAATGTTCATTGTTAAATTATCTCTTAATCTCTAAATTTGGCAGACTTTTTATAAGGACCTATAAGCAAGAATTGATGTACCCTGTTCAAAAGGACTTGAAGCTTGAAAGTGTAAAGTCAAAAGTGATAAAGTACAGAAATACCTTTGAGAGGGAATATTACAGATTTTACAGTTAGGATTTCAGGTATAGTTCAGGGTCACCATGCTTGTCCAACACAGACAAGAACCTAGGTTCAATCCCTAGCACCACTAAAAAAATTAGCTTTTTTTTTTTTTAATTTGAATGTTAAAATTGGTGGTATCTAGGTCTTGAAACCGTGTTTGCAAGTACGCAGGAATTAATGCAGATTTCATGTGCGCTCAACTAGATAAATACTTCTTTCACTTAGAAATTTAAGTCTCTTTTAATCTATTTTTCACATTGTCACACTATGTTCATAATTTTACTTTAAAATGACTCCCAAATGTAGAATAGAGTGCTGTCTCTAAACAGAAATAGCTGAAACAGCATTATGTGTTAATAAGTTGATAGAAATGTGACCAGAGGCTCCTGGGAGCCACAGATCAATATTCACTAAGTGAAATGGTAGCTTCGCTATTGCTGTGATAAACACTAACCTAAAGCATCTTGGATAGGAAAGGGTTTATTTGTCTTGGAGCTTGCAGTCCATCATCGAGAAACCAAGGCAAGAACCTTGAAGCAGGAACTGAAGCAAAGACCACAAAGGAATGCTGTGGTCCTCTGGCCTGTGCTCAGGCTGCTTTCTTACACAACTCAGGACCACCTGCCCAGGAGTGACACCATCCACAATGGGCCCTCCCAAATCACTCAGCAATCAAGAAAATGCTTCACTGCAGGTTCCCGAGACAAAGGGAGGAGAATCGCTGTTTGATTGAGGCCAGCCTGGAATGGTTTACAGAGTTGCAGGCCAGCTGAGTGGGGCTACATATTGAGACCCTGGAGGGGAGGGGAGGAGAAGTGGGGGTAGAAGGAAGCAGGGTCAGAGGGAGAGAGAGAGAAAGAGCAAGACTTACATGCCCGCAGGCCAGTCTGATACAGGAAATTCCCCTAATTGAGGTTCCTTCTCCCAAGTGTGTCTAGTTGACAACAGAAGCCAACTGAGACAAGACTTTGGTTGGTACATAGTAACTACCATGAGGACAAGAATCAACTGACCTTTTTTTTTTTTTTTTTTTTTGGTATTTTTTTGAGACAGGGTCTCCCTATAGCCGCAGCTGGCCTGGATTCACTATGGAGACCAGGCTGGCCTTGAACTCACAGAGATCTGCCTGCCTCTGCCTCCCAAGTGCTGGAACTAAAGGCACGCTGGGATGTAAAACTGACCTTTTAAGTAGTTTAGATGGCATAGAATTCACACAATAAAATGTGTCCACTTACAGTATAGAATCCAAGTGAGTTTTTAATATGTTCAGAATTGTGCATCTATTTCCATAGTCTAAGTTTGCATTTTATCATCCACAAGGAAATCCTGTCTCCATTAGTAGTCCTTCCCCAGGCCTACACCACCAGCTGCATGTTTAGCCTCTCATGTATCACCAAGGTTCATTTGCGTGTGTGTAGCATGACTGGGTGTACGAGCACATCTGCAGGTAGAGGCTAAAAGACAAATTTTTTTTGAAACACAATCTCCCTTAGAACTCTCTCCAACAGCCTCAGGGATCTCCCTGTCTCTGCCTCCTCAACACTGGGATTACAAGCACACCATCAAATACAGCTTTTTTTTTTTTTTTTTAAACCTGGGTTCTGGGATCAAACTCAGGTCCTGCTGCATGCACTGGCAAGCACTTCACTTACTAAGCTGTTTCCCCAGTCCCACATCTAGCATTTGTCTGACACAGCCCAGGGACTTAGGAGGGAAAGTTAATAGGAAATGAACTTGGATGGCAAACAGAACACAGTTCATACCGTCTTAAGAACTTAGGGGTATTTTAAATTACTTCTTGAATAAAACCAGAAAAAGAAAAACCCTTAAGCCAGGGAAAGTAAGTTCATCTCTAAAGGTCGTTGGCAAACAGCAGATAATTATGCCGATCTAATGAAACCTCCTCACGAACCTCAAATATACAGTTTGCTCTTTCTTTTCAATTTGCTTTTTAAATCTACTCATCAACTTGCAACTTGCTATCAGCCTAAGCATAAATATTAAATTGATTGAGATTCCAGTATTGGTTTGTATATTCTCAACCCTTAGAATATTCACTAACTGTGAAGTAAAGCTCCAAATGGCCTATTAGTTCACACTCTCCTTGGATGCTCTTCCTTTCCTCATCTTTTGTTGCTTTAGTGGTAGGTGTAATACCAAGCGAGATGCACAGAGGAATGCCATATAGTGATGGTCAAATTAGGAGTCCTTTATTAATAGCCTGCTGTCAGAGAGGGAGCTAATGCCCAAAACAACTCAAGAAGTAGGGCAGGGTTTATAGAGCTTAAATCTGTAATTACATCATGCCAGGGGCAAAGCCAACCATAGTTACATCAGATCACCAGTTACACCAGACCAGGGGCAGGTCAGTTAACAAAGGTTTTCAGTTAACAATAAGTTTCAGTTAACAAGTTTCAGTTATGCCGGGTGGGAGGATGAGCTACCTGGATGTGATACCTGGCTACTTGTAAGTTTCCCAGTATTGTGGAAACTGTACTCTTAAAACTGCCTGCATGAGATAGATGTTCCACCTGGCTGGGGCTGCAGTGGGAATGGCTGGGCAAAAACAGGGTAAAGCAAAAGTCAGCTAGAACAAAATGGTGTTAGATTTCCCATTTCATTTCCCACTAGTCTTAGGGCAGAGTCAAAGCATTGACTCAATATCCACAGGTGACAGTGGGTTGAACTGGGCTCTCATGTACATTAATGTGACAGAGGCTAATGGACTGTAATTTTTTCAGAATAGGGTTGAACAACCAGTTAATTAGGCAAGGCCCAATCACTGGACCCAGGAAGAGAAGGATGAGGGGTCTTTTTAGGCCTAGAAACAAAGTAGTCAGCCAATCAAACACTCAGTGGAACAAGGAACTGTTGGCCTCTCCTTTTGGAAAAAAATGTGCAGAGTAGGGAATTGGGACAATGTCTCAGACATTAGAACGGACTGTAGCCTGGACCTGTTACAGAGACTGAAGATACTTTAAGAGAGACTGAACAGGGGCTGGAGAGATGGCTGAGCAGTTAAGAGCACTGACTCCTCTTGCAAAGGACACAGGTTCGATTGCAAGCACCCACATGGTGGCTACAAACCGTCCTTGACTCCAGTTCCAGGGGAATCCGAAGCCCTCTTCTGACCTCCGCTGCATTGCATGACATGGGTGTATTGCACACAGGCAATACACTCATACACATAAAATAAAAATGCTAAATATTTTGAAAAAACTGAACAGTAATATTTCAGGATAGGGTCCCTTAGTTTAGGTAGTAGGGGAGGCAGCCTTATGAATATTATCATATAAGGGGTGAAACCTATCTTAGAGAAGGTATATTTAACCCAGAGGAGGGCAGGGGTAGGATGTTTGGCCAGTTTTCACTGGTCTCTGAGATTATTTTAGCATTATCTGAGCCAGTTGATAGAGATGGCCCACTTGGAATTAGCTCATGTAGGAAGCTTTTTACCATGATGAGGGAGAGGCTTCCATCCATTTGGAGAATGTGTCCACAAATGCCAGAAAGTAGTTTAGTCAGTTTGATGGTACCCACGTAGTTCCTGATGAAGCTGGTCTACAAGGAGACATCCAAGGGCTGTAAGAAGGATGATTCTGAAGTCTGGCAGGGTCCGTCATCCCATGGGGTCCTTTTTTATTTTCTGGGAGTGAGTACTGCATAACAGCAAGTGGCAGCTCACCAGACCTTTGGCCTTTTGCCATGGAAGTGTCAGAGTCCTCTTTTCTTGTAGATCATGTGGACATGAAAAGATGGGAAAGGCACATCAGCTCTCTGTGAGGATGTTCACCTATTTAGAGGATGTTTACCCATTTATCCTTTTCCCAATGGAGAGCCTGGGTGAGGGTGATCAGTTCAGCCTTTTGTGCAGAGGTACCCTGAGGCAAGGCTTGGGCTCAGATGACATCCCATTGGGTAATCATAGATGCTCCGACCCTTCCCCGT